CCCCAAAACCCCAAAACCCCAAAACCCCTTAGATCTATATAAAAGATATTGTCAATTAGCATTAATTAATCTTAATTAATTGAATATTTAATTTCGATTTTCAAGTCCAGAGTTTATTCATTATCTTTTCTTTTTCGAAGACTATTTATTAGACTGCTAGTCAACAATTACTAAACTGTTTTTAAAAGAAGATGATGTGAAGGACCTGTCTCTTTTCTCTGCTAGTAGTCTTCTTCTTTTCTTAATATCTTTTTCTTGCTGCATGATATTTCTAGCACATGTCATAATGTTGTATTTATCAAAGATCTTTTTGAGTTATCTTGGATTAGGACCTCGCTTTGGTTTGCCCTCAGAGTCTTAACCTAGAGAATCGGAAGAGGAATCAGAGTCTTTCTAGTGTGGCATTCTCATTAAGTCAAGTTTCGGTACTATTGATGGTTTCTTCTGTGCTTTAGCTTTTTAAACTGTCACAGGGAGGTAGTTACTATCACTAAACTAACTATCGACAAGATATGGCACCTAATCGAAGTCTATATTGCTAGCTGTATTTTAAATTCTAGGTTTTGAATTATTTTGTGATAAATTGCCAAAATTGATAGCAACACGATCAATCATAGATTATCTTAACTCTCTCTTCTTGACATAAGTAAATACTCTCTCAGTTAAAGGACTAAGAGCTAGTACTTCATCTCTCTGTATTCCAAAACCACCATTAATAAGTTCAAGCCTCTTTTCTTTTCTTGCTTCCTTCCTCTCACATTTGATTTAATAGTACATTTGCTTATACTCATCATCAAAGTGTGTTGAGAACCTAGTTGTAGGAATATCTTTTATCTCTTCCTCAAATACCTCTGAAATCGGGAAACCTTTTTCCTTGAGAATAAATAAGAAGAACATGAGCTTATTTTCCCTTTACTTACCATAATCTAATTCTTCTTACATTTCTTTGGCTATCTATTTAAGTTCATTATTTTCGTTCAAAGCCTCTTAAAGTTATTCATACATATCTTAGTGTTCCATTGACTAGTCATCATTCTAGATTATTATAGGCTTATTGCCTCCCTTATTAAGAGGTTGTCTCATTTGCTGTTTAAACAAATCTTTGAATTTCCTTCTTTAATGGTCCAGTTCAATTTCTAAGTTTTCAATTTAGTCATCTCTCTCATCAATTTATGAAGCCATATTTTGTATTTATGTTCTGCATTCTTACTCATTTCTTTCAACATCTCTCAGATCTTACTCAATTCTCTTAAAGTCTACTTGCTTCTCCTTCAGTTTGAATTCGCATTCTTTCACAAAATGCTTGCCCTAGTCATTTTAGTTTTCATAGTCCTTTATGCAATCCTTGAATCCTTTCCTTAATTTCTAGATTATTGATTAGAATGGTGATTCCTTTGTGATCAATTCGTCGAAAACTTTCATAAATGTTTCAGCTTTTTTCTTAGTGATATCAGATTAAGAATTAGAATGGTTGGAATCCAAGATTGAATTTTGAATATCAGTAAGTTAATCTATCATTTTTTTCTCAATAGATCTTAGACTTTCTGCAAGATCTTTCTACTTTTTTTCATGCTCCTCTATTTTCTTGGTATTTAGTTAGCTATCATGATATTCCTTAATTCTAAGTTCTTCATTTTCAAAGTTAGGCTGTTTCAAATTTTTGATGGGTGAAATTTTCTCTGTCTAAGAAGACTATTGAATTTATTGATTTTGCTAATTGTTAAAATTGTTTGTGGTTAATGTACCAGGGTTTTAATTAAAAGAATTTGTAAATGATAACTGGAAGTTGTTCTGAATTTTCTTGATTATTGCTGCTTAGATCTGTTAGCTATTTGCTTATTTTGAGTTATCTTAAGCTGTTTTGATAATAGAACTTGGGTCAAAGCTTTAGCCATTATTTTGATTGTTTAGAGAAGGAATGATTATCTATTGTTAAGTCTTATTTTTACTTTATTTTTATGAGACTATATTAGCTTGCAAATTACCTGCAATACCATTCTTAAGAGTTTAGTTTCCTATCATTAAATCAGTAAAGGCATTTTAATTTGTAGATAATCCTAGTTATGTATGCCAATTCTATATCATAGGTGAGGTAGCTGAACTGTGACCTCCAATAAGTAAAAGATTCGAGTTGCTACTATTTCTTGACTTTTAAATGTTTTATTGCTAATATTGCTTTTGCTTTTACAGTAACTTAGCACTCTGGAAATAGTTTTGAGGGTTGTAAGAATTTTTAGAAGTAAAGTTTGACAGGAATTATTGATGCTAAGATTAAGAGAGCTGTTAATGTTGTAATTGATTATTCTAGTTGTTTTAGGAAGGACTGCTTACTGGGGAATTCACAATTTATTAAACTAGATTTTTACTGTTAAAAGCAGGGTGCTTTGCTGGTGATTAGAGATTCGTATTACTTTTTAATTGAGTATTAAATGAATGCTTCGGAGGTTTGATTTTCAGTTAATGTCTATGACTACTCATTAGTGGCTCAATAGATCCTCCACTTGCGATTGATGAAGTTGCCATTGTATAATTTTTACTCTTCTTCTTTTTATTCTTGGAAGTCAATTTCAATTGTAGAGCATGTTAGTTTAAGATCTCAGCAGCTTTATAAAATTCTCTTTATGAAACAGTACCTATCGAATTCATCATATCTGATGGTAGGGGATCTTGTTAGTAAGATTGAAAATGATGATGATTCAATTGATCAAAAGCATCTCCACCTTCATTCACTAAAAGACCTTTAGAATATCGACGCTTTGATGAATGTCTTGTTGAAGATTTTAGGCCTAAATTAGTGGCTGCCTATCCTTATCGTTTATTCATTTAAGATACGAATGCTGCATTAGTTGTGGTTACTGGATGACTTCTTTAATGGAGTTATTCGTGTGCATTAGTAACCAAATACTCTGAGTACTTCATATTGTTAATATTGCCAAGACTTTACTTTTACATTGTCTTAGGAGAATTCTCAGATAAGTCCACTGAACCATGATTTTGATTGCTCATGAAGAAATTATTACCTTTCGCTTAAATGTTTTGAAGCTAAATCTTTTCCTAACTAACAGGATTCTTTATGTTGAATTTATTTTGCTTGCTATCTTTTAGAATTGATGGAGATTCATATGTTTGAAGTATCCTAACCTTTTTCCCACTACTATTAGAGCCATCTCTACCAATTGAGTTAGATTAGTTCCTGTTGGTGCTCTATTAATCGACAATAAATACTTGTTGATTGTTTGGTGCAGTATTCTAACCAGTAATAATGTTAACATTCTTTCTTGCTTTTGCACTTGGATTTCTAGACTATTTGTTGGATGTTTTGTTCGAAATCTGATTCAACTTCTTAGCTAGATTACTATTCTCTACAAGAGGTTAAAAGAATACCTGAGCATTCTGGTTTTTAGTTGAATTGCTAACTTATATCGCTGCTTTGGCGAAGTTTTAGAAAGCATTACTGTTATTCATTTGAGACTGATGGAGCTGTGCATTTGACATTGGTATTCCTTAGCTCATATTCATACTACTAATACCTTATGATTAAGTTAATGGGTTTATAGTGTTAGGCTAGATCACTATGTTAATATTTTCCTTATGTTAAAGTGGTTTTTAAACCTACTAATGAGTTAATGCTTACTAACCATTATTCTTTTTCATCGTTAATTTCCTATTAAAAAATATTAATTTTCTAACTATAATCTGAGAGTTGCAAAAATAATAAAGTATTAAAATCTGAATTTGCAGGAAATATAGATAAATCTCAAGCTTATTCTTTTATTTCTTTCACTTACTTTTTTATGATTGACTTTAAAATCTTTGGTGATTAATTTCTTATGTCTGCAGTTACTTGGAAATGATGCTCACCCCTAGTGAGTTGGCGTTTTTTACTTGAAGATCTACTTTCTTTAGATTTTGTTCTTTTTTTTGTATGAGTAAGTTTCCCAATTATCTCATCTTCTGGTCTCGGGGTGAAAAAATTGAGTCCTTGTGCTGAAAATATACTATTACCAGAGGGTCTTAACTTTTTGCATGATTTCAGACTTCTCTCTCGTGACTATTGCTTGCCTTAGTTCATATGAATTGCTTTCTTTAGTATCTAGTAGTGAGATAAGTATATTTTAAAGAAATTATACATTTTACTGATCTCTTGTGAGATACATGTTGGCAGATTAATTCGATGAATTCATAATTTAAATAAGTTAATTCTGTCAACTATATCAATTTCATCAATCTCGATATATCACTTCTTTTTGGGGTTTTGGGGTTTTGGGGTTTTGGGG